GCCACCACGCCCAGCTTCAACCATCATTATAATAAATTTTGGAACAGTTTCATCACCCCCAAAAGAAACCCCATATCCATGAACAGTCCCTCCCTATATCCTCTCAAGGCCTCCAGCCCTAGGCAAATATTAATTTGCTTTCTGAATCTATAGGTTTGCCTAATGTAAACATTTCATATAAATGGAATCATACAATATGTGGCCTTTTGTGACTGGCTGTTTCACTTAGCATAATGTTTTCAAGGTTTATCCATATTGTAGTATGTGTCAGTGCTTCATTTCTTTTTATTGCTGAATGATATTCCATTGTATGGGTATATCACAATCCATTCATTAGTTGAACATTTGGCTATCTCTCCTTTTTTTGCTATTATGAATAATGCTGCTACAAACATTCATGTACAAGTTTTTGTGTGAATCTACGTTTTCATTTCTCTTGGGCACATACCTAGGAATAGAATTGCTGGATCATAGGGTAACTCTATGTTTAACTTTTTGAGAAAAGCAGACTGTTTTCCACAGCGATTGCATCATTTTGCATTTCCACCAGCAGTTTGTGAGGTTCTAATTTCTCCATATCCTTGCCAAAGCTTATTATCTATCTTTCTGATTATAGCTAACTGCTTCTTAAACATGCATTCAGCCAGTCCTCTTATTTTAGCCACACTTTTATTTTCCAGAGTTACCTGTGTCCCAAATTCCTAAGCTTTTTCAGGATTCTGCAGCATCAATCATTGCTTCTTAGCTTTCTCTGCTGCTAGCACAGGGTACAGTTTCTTGGGCCTGCAGCTCAGCTACCTCCATGGTGTAGAACTCCAGAGTCCCACAGACCTGGGTCTTACTCTTTGGTCTGGCTATTCGCAAGCCATGAGACCTTAGGTCAAATTAATGTAACTTCTCTGAGCCTCAGCTGTCTCATCCCTAAAACAGAAATGTAACAAAATGTGAAGTGCCTGGCATTCAGTAGGTACTGACTAAGTATTAATTCTCCTATCATCCTCAAATATGGTGGGTATTCAAAAAGAGAAAGACTTAATCTCTTGTCTTTAGGAATTCATGAGCTAGTGGGAGAAAAAGAGACCCGTATATCTCTAATTTGCTTAATTTTCATATACTGTAAATATGTTAGTTGCTGAGGGTACAATGTGACAAGTTTCCTGTTTTCAAATGGCTTTCCATCTGGTGGCATCAGAACCAGAACTGGCATATAAGGCAGACCGGGTTCAGTACTGTCAGTCGCGTCGACACAAAGGGAATGTACCACAACTTGGTGCACAGATTGACTGGAACATTTTAATGTGTGTGACTGTCAACTCTTTAAGTGAACTACACTAACCTTCCCTTGAACTCATCGTACTTTGAAACAGCAAGGCTCAGAGAGTAAACCAGCAGCCCAGTTCTGTTCAGCGTTCTCTATCACAAAATTTCTGGCCAACATGGCTTTATGCCAGTTACCAAGGAAAGTAAAAAAAAAAATAATGAATAAAAATCAGATTTCAAAATAGCTGAGCAAAATATAACATAGCCTATAGGTATTAAAAGGAAAATGCTAAAGTGCAGCTGTGGAAGCCAAGAAAATATTTGCTTATAGATACAAGTCTCAAACGCTTTTTGTTATTTAATATGTTAAGGTTGCTTCTTCCCTGTAGACAAACTGCTGTCAGAAGCGGGGATCAAGTTATGGCCACCGCAGAACTTAGAGGTCTTAAATCTTAACCACATCCTTACTCATGTAGGAGTGTAGCAGTTCTGTGGCTTTGCCTGTCAGAGACAGATTTTGGAAAGTGGCAAGTCGCTAAGGAGCTTGATCTTGGAAGAATCTCCTTACTTGAGTGCATCACTTTTGCAGGCCCTGATACTGTAAAGACAATCTGGGACACGTCGAGCTTGGATCTACACAGTGTGAGGAGAGGGTTTTGAGAACAGAATATAACATCACATATAATAACGGGCTGGTTGTCTTAATTAAAACCTGTTTGTCAGCCCTTGTGGGCCCTAGAATGTTCAGTCATCAGGAACACTGACTACTCATTCTTTCTCCTGTGGCTGGTACAGCTGGATCTCGGTCATGCCCATCACCCCTATCAGCTTTTGCCCTCTTACTCTTCCTCAAGTCCTCAAATGCCCAGCTCCACCACCAGCCTGAATTGGCTGTTTGTTAACTGAGCAGCTGATAAAATTTGTGAGTGGGCTCTGGGGGCCCACCTAAGGCAGGGAACTGTGTGTGCACCAAGCTTTAAGTAAGCTTTTTTTCTTTTCTTAGCACTTCTCAGAGTGTGTAAAGTTGGAAAACCATTGAGAATTTCCAAGAAAGAGATATAATATGCAGTGTTTTCCAGTCTCTCCTCCTCTCCCCTGAAGGAAAAAAACATGGAGAAAGACTGATTTAAGCACTTCTCTGTGAGACCTTCCCTGATAATTCCAGCTGGAAGTTATCCGGGGTACCTAACTTGTACCCCTTTTGTCTCATATAATCTTATATCTAATTTTAGAGTTGGATGAGATAGAGAAATTTTTATTCTCCTAGTAGCTCTTATAAGAATCCCTAGTCCTTTGGGGTGAGTGTTAAGAAGCAGGGGCTTCTCCCCAGCCTTGTTACGGGTGGCCTTAAGGCCTTTGTTTTCTTGAACCCCTCACGGGTTTGAGTATGTCAGTTTGGAGGTAGAAGCAGGGGCAGAGCTGAATTGCTTCCATAACAAAAATAGGAGAAATTTGAAGTTCCCAGGGAAATTTCAGGAAGGAGAGAGGAGTCAGTCAGACTAAATGCTGCATGGGAAAAAGATCAGAGAGGAAAAAGAAAACAAACAAACAAACAGGCTAATGGTAGCCGGCTGAAGTAAGCTTCAGGGAGAACAGAAAGGTCTAATGGGAAATTTTAAGCTGTTCGCTGTCAGAAGCACAGCACAAACCTGCTCTTTTGTTTCGACTGCGACATCTTCAGTGATGTTTCTGTGGCCCACAGTGTCTGAGTGTGAGTGGATTCTGCTGCAGGGCTGGTGCACGGGGTAGAGCTGGCTGGGGGAGCTGACGTCTGGGTGGCATCAGTAATGATATTCATGTCTCATCAGCTGGGCTGCAAGCATATATTTATTGAATGAATGAATAAACAAATGAATGGATTTCTAAGAAGCAGCAGCAGATAAGGGTTTCTCTGTAACGGAGACTAGACCAGGGCTCAGCCATGAATGTGACAGATTCCTAAGTAAAGCAGGCAGGAGTATGGGATTGATCTGTACCTGCTGGTAACCAATCACTCAGTCAGTGAGAATGGCACTGTTCTCTTGGTTGTAAGCAGGTTCTTCCATGCAGAAAGAACCAAAGATTTAATCTCTGACATAAGAAGTCTGCTTGGATTATAAATATCTGGCCTTCTAGATTCCAAACCAAGGTCTCTTCCCTGTCGTGAGAATAAGGAGAGAATGGCAGAGATCTCACACCTCTCTATTCTCTGTTAGAAATAATCGCTGTCTCACGTGTGTTTTTATAAACACATTATCACAAACTAGCATTCTAAGGATTGCCACATTGTGTTATAGATATCATGCATGCTTGGGTTCTCTGTAACATTTCAAGGTTCAGATATAGCCAGGTCGTGTCCCATTTGGAGGTTAAGAAAGACTACCACAAAGGCTTTGTTTTCCCCTATATGCCTCTCTTTCTTGAAAGCCAAGGTGAGGGCCATGACTTACTCATCTCTGAAGCCCACAGCCTGGCAGTCTCTGATCCACGGTAAGTGCTGAGTAAATACCTTTGAGCAGAGCTGCCCATGGGGAGAAAACTGAGTGCTGGGGAGGTCACGGTGGCCAACTCAAGAATAACGTGCCAGGCGCAGTGGCTCACACCTGTAATCCTAGCACTCTGGGAGGCCGAGGAGGGAGGATCACTTGAAGTCAGGAGTTCAAGACCAGCCTGAGCAAGAGTGAGATCCCATCTCTACTAAATAATAGAAAAATAGGAAAAAAGAAAAAAAAATAATGGGCAGGACTCTAGGGAAAGACCTGGCCTTGACACCCTTTACTTGTCATCGAAAGTGTCCTTTACTTGCACGGGTAATATGAAATTGTGTCTGCACAGTGCTTGCCCTCTCTAGACCCTTGCCTGGCAGAACTGCAAAATGAGAAGTTCTTTATCGATGTGGTAAGGAATCATGTCATGTCCACATTAGGAGGGAGATTTTAGGCCCTTTAGTAGAAAGCTTGGCCGACTTGACATCTCTCTTATTTCTGTGGTAGTTCTACATTTAGTGATTCCCACAGCAAGTCTGCCTTTTAAAATGCATTTACTGGGAAACCATCCGTTGGACTCAGTTTTGCAACAGAAGGAGGGTGGGGAAGGGTTTGGTTATCACTGCAGGGGTTAGGCTGGGTCCCTGAGATGCAACAGTTGGTGAAAGAGATGACCCTCGGGCCCAGACGTCTGAAAGGAGGGGCTTTAGGGTGAGTCACATGAAGATGACTTAACCCCTTGGACCGTTGATTATTCCGTCCTTCATCCAATATTCATTGAGCCCCTGCTCAGACAGGCACCGTTTTAGGCTCTCGGGATTTATTCATGAACCAAGACAGAAAAAGGCTCTATTCATAGGAAGCGTGATGACAGCAATAAATTCACACACACAGGCACATATACACACAAACACATAAACAAACGAGGGAGATATCAGAGAATAATATTGAGATAAAGTAGGGTGACAGGGAGTGGCTGGGTGGTCCAGAAAGGCATCTTGAAGGGTCACACTTTAGCTGAGATCTGAATTAGAAGGAGTCACATTAAGACCAGCAGGAAGAGCATTCTAAGCAGTGGGAACAGCCAGTGCGGAGACCCTGTGGTGTCTCCCAGAAAGTCTGGTGTGATCCAGGAGTATCAGGAATGCCCCTGTGATGAGCGTCATGGGCAAAGGTGGGGACGGAGCAGGTTGAGATTGGCACAGTTGAGTCCTGCACCGACCCTGTGCTTCAGTGCCCTTTGCCGGGGCTAACATTGTATCTTTTCTTCTACAGACGACTTCGCAGAGGAGGAGGAGGTGCAGTCCTTCGGTTACAAGCGGTTTGGTGAGTTCTAGCAAAGCTCTGTTCCATCTCCATGTGCAATCTGAGATACAGTGACAGACCCTCAGGGACCTTCCCAAAACCAGTGGTGCACCCTTGACGCTCACAGACATTCGTGGCTCTGAGGTCCGATGTTGGCTGGAAATTGAGTTTCTGTCTACTAGGCAGATGATTACCCACAACTCTGAGGGGCTGTGGAACCGGAACTGGGCTCCAGGCATGGGGAAATGATGGGATGTTTTTGGGTCTGCCGGATATAAAATAGACGGCTTACTAGATAAAATGTGGTGGGAAAGGTAAATCTGTGGCAAGACAGAAGCAAAATACATGGGATTTCTCTACTTCTCTATTCCGATATTTAGAAACATCTTTTTTCTCATCTCTATCCTGTTGCTCAGGCCTCGTGCTCATAACTTAGTGGGTGAGCGAGAGGGACTCACTTAGACACAGGTGCTCTGGGGTAGGCTGATAACAGCCCCCAAAGACATCAACACTCTGATTCCTGGAACCTGAATTTTAGCTTAGATGGCAAAAATGACTTTGCAGATGTGATTAAATTGAAAAGCTTGAGATGGGGAGATTATCCTGGGTTACCCAGATGGGCCCTAAAGCCCTTCACAAGTGTCCTTATAAGAGGAAGGGAGAGGGAGGGAGATCTGACTGCAGAGAGAAGGTGACGTGATGACAGAAGCAGAGATGGGTGTGGCGTGCTCATGTCCAGAAATACAGGTGGTCACTAGAAGCTGAAAAAGGCAAGGCAATGGTGGAGGGGGAGCAGTCCTTCTCACGTCTTTATTTTAGCCGATGGAAGCTGATGTCAGACTGGCCTCCAGAACTGTAAGAGAAGGGATTTGTGTTAAGCCACCATGTTAGTGGTAATCCGTTACAGCAGCCATACGGAACTAATACATGCTCCTCCGCCTCCTAGGCCGCCGCACACGGGGGCTCTACGCTGCTTTGACTGTGCTTCTCAGACTCTGCAATTTGAAATGCCAGTGGACATTGCAAAGTTTCAAAGACAGTTCAAGGGAACTGAGGTTTTTCCAACCAGCTTGTTTCTGTGCCTTGGCCAGAGGAAATGGAGAAGGATAGAGGAGAAAAGAATGTGTGTGTGTGTGTGTGTGTGTGTGTGTGTGTGTGTGTGTGTGTGTGTGTATGTATGTATGTATGTGAGAGAGAGAGAGAATATGAAAGAGAATGAAACTACTTCCTGTTGCTTAAAAAAGAATTCCTGGCTGGACTTCGATGAAAGTTAACAACCCTCAGCTGCTCTGGCTCCTGAGTTGCTTTAGCATTTTTCCTTCTGGATACACACTTCTGCCTTTCTTACTGGGAGAACACGGGGCTTTAACATGGGAATGCAGTGGCAACAAGCCCATAGCTACTCCGGTCCGACCCTGGCAGAGCAGCCCATGTTCAGTCTTTCCTCCCCTCGCCTGTATTCCTGCTCCTTTCCTACACTATTCCATGTTTCTAGATTGGTGTGTTCTGCTTTCCCATGGGGGAGTCACTGAGGGCAGCAATAGGAGTAAAGATGAAACCAAGAATTAGAAAGGAAAACAAGACACAGACAAAAAACATGGAAAGCAAAAATAAGGAAGAAAATCAAACTTGTCAAAACAAGGCAGAATAAATGTTGAGATGCCTGCATGTTTTGGAAATCAGTAGAAATGTGAGAGTAAAGTTTCTTTAAAGAGTAAAAAGTTTCTTTATAAAGGGTGACCCTGAGAGAAAATGTTTTTAGAAATTTGACAACCATGTTATTAGCTAGATGGGTGGGAATTTGGTGAAAGACATGAAAAATAGTATGTTGCTGGAAAGATTTTAATTTATGGTGGTTAAATTATGCATGGGGATTGCAAATTGATGACTCGGGGGAGATATGATAACAACTTGCAAATATTGGAGAGCATAAATAGAGAGGCGTGAAGAGAATGATACCAAGTGGTACAAATGGAAGAGAGGGATGAAATTACAGCGGGAAACCGCGGACTACTAGTCTGTGAAGAGATGTTCCGATGTTGAGACTCCTTGGATTCAGCTTCTAGGCAAGGCGATGGGTATCCAGTATAGGGCTAGAGTAGAATTTTGCAGATGGAAGAGCCTTTGGGATGATTTAAATCAGCCTTTAATTTTACAGATAAGGGAGGTGAGGCCCAGATACATTAAGTCCTTGTTTAAGCAAGTTAGCTGGAGCTGGGGTTGGAAGATTCTGGATCTCCTAACTCTCAGGTCAGTATAGTTTTAGAGAAGGACCCAGCAGTGAGGTTGAGATGACTTCACAACTTCTGTGTCCTGGAAGGGGACCCTGCAGCTCTGGAACCCTGTAGTGGACTAGACACCCAATCTGGCCCCACTGGGGAGGCCTTGCCACTCTTATAGGGCCTAGGACTCTGGATCTGGTTCTTTAGAAGGTAAATGGTTTTTCAGTTTCAGTAAGAAGTGGCCACATCTGGTTGTTGAATCTAGCAGAAGCCAAGAACCCATTCCTTCAGTTCTGGTTAAACTTTAACCATTAAGGAAAACCAAGTCTCTTCCATGCAGCAGGTCTGTGGTGAAGGTGTCTGGAGACAGGGTGGCCCTCTAGGCCCTGCCCCTAATTACTCTTGTGTCGTGAAACCAGTTACTTAAACTCTGTGGGCCTCGGATACTGCACCAGCCCATAAGCAGAGTGACACCTGCCAAGGGAGGTAAGTCTACCTACCTCACAGGGCTAGCAGATGGATGAGTGCTTTGAAGGTACAGCACTATAAAACTCAAGGCTGTCGTGTCACTCTCCTGAGGTTTGGGGCTGTTAGCACACTCTGGACATTTTGGTGCAGCCACTGCAGAATATCAAAGTGTGACAGGCCTGAAACCTTATTTCTGGAGAGATCTAAAAGTGTGATTTACTTCTGAAGATGGTAATATTGTAGGCTTTTATTTTTGGAAAAGTAGACTGGATAACAGAGCATTTCATTATTATCTAATTTTAGGTATGTCTTTATGCAAATACAATAAACACAACCTGAATTTAGACTAGAGATGAGCTAGGGGTTAATTATTCACAAGGCACAGGGGCCATTGTTTTAGCAAATCCTTACTGGGTGGGCTTATTTCCGAAGTTATTCATGTGGAGTTATTCATAAGCATTTGCTACATGAAGTCAAGGCTGATTATAACGTTACTGTGCTTTTTTCACATTCAATGTAGTATTATAACAAAGAGCAAAAATGCGTGATGTTTTCTAGTTATCTAGCATGGCATTCAGTACAGTCATCCCTTGTTTATTCACCGATTCATTGTTTCATCTTAGTCTCAACCAGGTCTCCTGTTTTTCTCCAGCCTTTCCATGTGTCAAGCTTGTTAGCCCCATCCCCAAAGTTCTGGGCAGGTGTCTAAAGGAGAGATGGAGTTAAGTCTGATGGTTTCGCTCCTCTGACAAAAGCTTCAATTAGAAGAGACTTTAAAGGGTTAATTAAGTGGGCATTTCCAAGCTTTAATCAGGCTTTGAGGGTCAGCTTTTCTTGGCCTCAGTATGCAGAGCTAATTGGGATGTAACTATAGCTACGATTTGGCAGAGTTCACTTTCTGGGATATGAGTTATACCAGTATATTAATTTTTATTTTTTATAGATAGAATAGGATATATAGTACAATGATAGTTTTCTACTAATTTCCCAGTTATTGTTTTCTTTAAAAATATCATCCCTGGCTCTAGAATCCTTTAATATTAGCAGAAAGGGAAGGAGAATTAGCACTACCTTCGATGTCCTGGGCTCGCTCTGGAGCCTTCTTTGCCCCCTTGCTGTGCTGTAGGCGCTAGACTGATTTTGTTGCATCTGATTGGTGGCAGTGGGTTCTCTCCTGTTATGTTTGGAATACGATCTGGTGTAAGGATAGATGCCCAAAGTTGGAATGATGAAGGAGCAAGAGATACAGAGTTCAGCCTGTGAAAATCACGGGTAGATTTAAGGGTTTACAGTGAGCAACTGTGGGCAGCTGGAAACATTTGTTGTTTGTGTTTGGCAAACAGAGCTTTGACAAAATTATTTCCTTGGGGCTCAAAAAAAGATCTGAAAAATCGCAAACTGTGAAACAGTAACAAAAAAAGTAAAAGGAAGCATTCTCTATGGAGCAGAAGTCAAGGTTTTCATAAAACTAAGTGGAAAAGTTCTAAGGGAACTACCGAAAAATCATTTAGGGGTTACAGTCCAAAAAGGGCTCTCAGATGCCTTTCCTTTCAGGTCAGTAAGTGTGTCTTTGAAATGTATCTTTGCATAGTTTTGTTTATCCCGCAACTTCACAGGCCTCACTACAGCTATAGCTTCAAAAAGCCAGGCTTTAAGTTTTTTCCCTTTCTTTCCTTGAAAAATAGTTGTGGATTAGCAAGTATATTTTTAACAGTTTGTCCCACGCAGCCCTGGGCATGTTGAAGCAGCCTGAGAAATATGTACTGAATAGAACCCAGCCCCGAGCCCTGCCCCTCCACCCGCCCCACCCCCACCACCTTCACCGCCCCCTCCTTCCAAGCCCCTCCTCCTCCTGTGAGAGAAACGTTTGAAACTTCAAATCAATGGCTCTGGTTAAATCATTGAGCTGTTCCTTGCCAAGAGGCTTAGAGAAACTGAATGTCCTAAATGCATAGAGGACCACTTAGGCTTCTGAACAATCACAGCACATACGTGCGCAGCCGTGTAGCCAGAAAGAAAGCTGCTTTTCTGAGGCACGTGGTGAGTTTCTGCTTTCAATGCCAAGAGATTGAAAGAGTTTACCAAGAGGATGCTGAGCTCTCTTTGGAAAGCTGCTCAAGATAAACATGTGGATGCCTCACTTCTTGCTGCTTGGGCTTGGGGGAAGCAGGCTGCCTGTCTCTCCTTTCCCAGGACTCTTTCCTGGAAGCCTGGCTTCATCTCTGGCTTTGGAGAAGGCGTTGATTTCAAGCCATCTATCTGCAGCAACAAGGAGGGCTCTAGGCATCCCTCTCACCACAGCCCCTGGGAAGGCTGACACCAGCAGAGTTT